GGACACTTCCTTGTATCTGCGGCAGGAAACATAGCCTTATATGGTGTTTTTGGGGTGGTAATTATGCTAATTTCCTCTCACGTGCACGAGCAGCTGGATGCGAACAGGTGAAATTTACGCAGCTCATTTACACACTTTTCCTGAAGATAGAAGAGTTTGTTGAATCTGACGTGACGTGTTCGTACGAACAAAAGTAAGAGAAATTTAGGATAAGAATACGAACATGTTCTTGCATGAGGCCCATTAAATCTAATGCTTTGATCCTTGTCAAACAGATCTGCACTTTAGCATTTATCATTCCCGCTAGCTCAAACATTTAGTAGGTATTTTGTAGTCTGACATTTTTATTTATTTATCTTCTAGATGGCCTGTGATCCAAACCTTACATGGATCAATACATCAGCTGTTTATGCCCTCTGATCTTATAAGGCAGGATGCCTCAACAATAACAGTAAAAGTCTTTTTTGTTGATATTATACCCTGTAAATGTCTTTCTCTCCTCTCAAACTATTCAAATCAGTCAAAGTCAGAACAGGAATGTGCATTCTTGTTTAACTAACCCGTTCGTGAATTTGGTGAGAAAGTGTTGGAAAAACTTTAGAAATGCTCCTGACATCTAGTGGTGATGTGACCGACTGCAACAAATGCTTTGCTCTTAGCATGCACATGGCTTGAATACCTGACCACTAGACCTAAATGATGTAACTCGTCTTCAGAAAATCACTACACATGTATCTATGATGATATGTTGTTCTTAAAATACAGCTCACCTCTTCATTCTCATACATAACCCTACGTGAAGAAAAGGGGGACGGTTCTGGTTTCCCAAAGTCACACACATCCTTCAGGGAGTGAGCGGCCCCTTCCTCCTCTTCTTCCTCAAGGGAATGGTCCTCGGCTCCCTCGTCGTCTTCAACTGCCACGSGTTCGAGGATGGAGTGAACCGCGGTGGGGTTCATCTTCAGCACCACCCTGAGCAAACGGTGTTAAACATCACAACTGCAGCTGAACGGAGCCAGTTTAACGACGGACAGATGAATTCACCTCGGCCAATCAAATTTCACGCTTTCAGACGTCATCATGTCTCCTTCCATGTTGTGAGACACTCTAAGGAAGCGGGCGGCAGGTTGATTCGGCTCCTCCTGGAACTTCCCTGCAGAAAAGGCAAAGAAATCATCGTCAGCAAAGAGACGTTTTATAATCAGGAAACATTCTTCGGGGCTACGCACCAGAGAGCTCCTTGAACGTGAGCTCCATCTTGGTTTGGTTGGGCGAACTGCCGCCCATGAACTCAGTTTTTATTTCCACRTTTTCCAGCTCCAGATGCAGCACTTCTTTCTGCAGGGACTTCTTGAACCAGGGGCCTCTCTCTTGATCTGAGCGCAGGTCGGGGATGGGGAAGCGGACCGCCACGCCCAGCACGGGGGCATTGACGGTCAGCRACACGTGATAGTTGGAGGGCGTGTGGGTGTCGTCGAGAAAAACCTCAGCGAAGGCTTTGTGCTGTCGAAAGAACGAGTTTCAGGGAACTCCCATCAAAGCAGATCTAAAAGTCTGCGCTCAGTTTGTGGCGTAACCTTACCAAGCTGACGTGTTTGTTGTAGGACGTATACATGTGAGAGGCCATCATCTCCGTGGTGGCTAATTTCTGCGGCTGCAGCAGTGAGTTCAGACGGTCCACGATGCTGATGTCGAGCTCTGAGCGCACGGGGCCCAGCTCAACCTGGACTTCTGCTTTCCTTGGAATTGTGCTGAGACGCACCTGGCCACCCTGCGCAGACAGAATGCACAAACAGATAGCTTGAATCCTGGATGACCACGCAGCGAACGTGTAAGAGTGGTCTGCTTTTTGTTACCTGGGGACCTCTGCGTTCAGCCAGTTTGTAAAGCAGGTGAAGACAGGTGGGAGGCKGTGCATTAGCACTAGATGTGGTGTCAAAAGTCAAGAGCTGAAACGTGACATATTATGAATAACACTTAAAGTGCCTGTGACGTCAAATTTTTGAAATACATWTGAATGCATTTTTTGAAAGAGGACATTAATAAAATACTGCAAAAGAAACTTCACATCGCTGAGATGAACAGTTGTTGAGATATTTGCCTGTGAAGTAACAGGAAGTGATGTCAAAGGGGAATGTTGAACGTGAACAGAGCATTGCTACAACAGCTAACAACCCAGACTGTAGAGAAGAATCTGATGTTTCTTTAGATTATTTTGAGTCACTATCAGAGAGAGATGAAGAAGAGTCAGAGTTCAAATAATATTGTTTCAATGAATAAAGACCAGGGAGTTTTCTTTGTTATAGAGTTCCACTTTGATGTCACTTCCTGTTTCACTTTGGCTGAGCCAAGTTCAAAAGAAAATATGCYGGTTATGGGACAAAATGTGTTAAATTGTGTGTATTATTCCAACTTTCTTAAAAATAAAGATGTTTTCTTTGATTTTTTGTGTTTGAATATGCATATCACAGGCGCTTTAAAGTCAAGAAATGAGCAGAGCTCAGCTCAGGCTGACACATCTTACCTCAGTGTACTGGATTCCTCTTTGTGAGCCACCATCGGGAGCTTCAGAGGAGAACAGACACTCAATAAACTCCATGTGGTTTAGTGAGATGTCAGTCTTAAAAGTCCGTAGGTTGGACCCCTGACAGTGGTCATAATTTATCACCAACTCCTGACCGATAAACCTGCAAACATGACCAGAAGACAGAAAACTGATCTTTGGAAGGCAAGGAAAGGAAAACGTCCTAAACAGAAAAGAATAAGTGGACTGCGAAGCGTACCTAAGATGATCGTGGGGACAAGCCTGATCAAAGATGGCGCGGGACTGAAGGAAAGCATCGGAGGACAACTGGCCTGGGCCCTCCGTGCTAAAGAAGTGTGCAGAAATTGGTCTGAGGGGGCTGGGAGCAGCATTCGGTGGGGGCAGCGGGTCAATGTGGAGGACGGAGACAGCAAAGCTGCTCAGGGACAACCTCAACACCAGCTCTGGCCTCGACTCATCCCCGTGGGTTTTGGATGGATGTGCTGGAAGAGAAACACAAATCATCTGTTTCATCAAAAACAGAGTGCAAAAAAAAATAAAATAAAAAATAAACAAAGCACTGGCCTTTTACTAAATAATTAGCCACCACAAGACTGATATTTCTAACTTAACATGCCGTGTATCCATCATATAACAACTGCTTACAGGTTTGTCTTAATAGTTTCTGAGGGAGCTGTGGATCTCGAGACTGGACAGGAGTTTCGCTCGTCGGCTTTTCTTTTTGTCGCGAGGATTCCATGTAATCTTCCCACAGAGCCTGAAAACAAAAGGACACCGTTCAAAAATACTCATTTCATGAAACTTTTTCAAAGCTGAAGACGTACTGTTGCATTTCCAGAGGGGGACTCTCCTGGGGAGGCAGAGTAGTTACTGTTCAGTGACAAGTCCAAGTCAACGGTGGGCGGTTCACCCAGAGGGGGGAGGGACGACAAGCTGTGAGACATGTCCATGTCAGCCATGGAGAAGAACACGTCGTCTAGAACAGCACACACACACACACACACACACACACACACACACACACACA